TAAAAATTCGAAAACATTTGCCGGACCATCATCCGGACTATCATCCGAACCCAACCCGGTACACATTTTCCAGGTGCTAGTACTAGTAGAAAATACGTATTGGTTCTAACCGTTTACGTCATATATTTTTTTTCTATTACATTTTTTTTCCCACACTAGCGTGCTTTATTTTTAATTACGAGTCACCGTCATATGTCAGAGCAAAATTCCCATAACCCTTACCAAAAACGGAAAAACGAAAATCATCACTCATACTAAAAAAGGATTCTTCGAAAATCAGCATAGCGAACATCAAAAAAGTTGAATGGAAACCCTCCCTCCACATTTCATGTTTCACAAGAAATGTGATCGTACTGGAACAAGGAACCCAGTGGTATTTACGTGATCACATCACGATTAAACGTTCAGCCTAAGTTAGAGTTAGTGTTAGAGTTAGTGTTAAGGTTAGTGATGCAAAATTTTTGTATAAAATACTCACTAACCCTAATTGTTAGTAAATAAATGATGTCATTGCATGATTTCACATGTGATGTTCTTGAAGTGTCCCGATATTTATTTAGCTCTATAACTCATATAACTATTCTGTATTGGAGTTGTCCAACATTTTTTTAATGAAGCTAATATTCGCCCGTTTCTGGTTTAGCGCGACTGCGTCGCGCAGCTACTTACATGATATTTATATCAGAAATTGAAACAAGAAAAGAATAATTAGCGAATTACGTACGTACGTACATACGTACCTCCTACTCCGTTTGTAAATTAGATATAACCCTATTTATTCTAATTGCAACAGATTTTTAGCCACTGTAATAATAATAGTTTAGTGGCGGCGCAAGTGCATATATAAATTTGGTTATATTAAAGTCATTATATCAACACAAAACGACGTTAAAAGATAAAAATCAAAAATCGAGTACGTACGTACGTACGTCTAGTTTCTGCACTTGAAAAATCATGTATGATAAATCAAAACTCAGTCCGAATGAACAATACTCGCTGGCTTACACCACTAAACAATCACCTTATTTAGAATCAGTCCAGGAAAAAACCATATCTTCATGCCCAATTTCTCGTCAGATGGTGTCCCCTGTACAAGGAGCTTTTTTGAAGTTTCTTGTACAACTGAGTAAAGCTACAAGAGTGCTGGAGATAGGAACTCTCACTGGTTATTCGGCATTGTACATGGCCGAAGGTCTAAAAGAGCGAGGATCAGAAGTAAAATTAGTTACGTTAGAAAAGGACGAAGAGAATTTTAAGGCGGCAAAAGAGAACATAGAATCTTCAGGGCTTGGACACCTGATTGAGCTGATACTTGGCGATGCAATGGATACGTGAGTGATAATTTATTTTATTTATTTTTCATCACTATAAATAAATGTAATAAACAAACGTTCTTAAAAATATTTAGGATTTCAAGTTTGGATAATACGGTACAATACGACCTGATATTTCTTGGTATGAAGGATTTTTTTTTTTCAAATGATAAATATGTGTTTGTTAATATTAACAATTTATCTTATTCTCTTGTTGGAAATTAGATGGTGATAAGAGAAATTATATCAACTATTATAATACTATTCTCGAACGAAACCTTCTTTCTGATAATGGAATTATCGCCGTTGATAATGGTTTGACTAAATTTTCATTTCTCGTGTTTATGGGAACTGAATTGAAATTAATTTAGATATGGATGAAGTTTCATATCAGTGATATTATGGTCAGGATTCGAACGAATTCGATATTTTGAGTTTCTAGCATACCTCACATAGTTGATCGGACAAATTCGAGTCGGAATTGATAAATTTTGCAAAATATTTTACTAATTAACAGTAGTTCACGTTCTAAGTAAAATTGTTCAGGCTATAATATGGACTGGTATTATTGCTTAATACTAGCTTATGGTAGCTCCGATAATTCCGACTCGAAACTTTGTCTAATCTGCAAATTTTGGTTGCGCGACTAATCTATCCTCTCACATATGCCTGTCGCCAGTATTTAATGACTGCTGATGACAAGCGCATGTGAAAAACTGCTGCAAGTAGTGGGTTCTCCATATTATGTTACTTTCTTGCCGATTAAAAATACTGAGATCGTTCGAGTCTTTTTTTAAGAAACCCAATCAGAGCATAGGTTTACATAAAAAATTTTACTACCATGTTCTAAATTTAAAATACCCTGATAACTATATCAAGATCACGGGGTATTTAGTAAAAATACCTGATTCGTATGAGTACAAGCGATAACTTCGTTTCAGCTAATACCCAGCGGCTCAGGATATTTTTATTACGAAATTCAAACCCATTTACATATAAAACTGTCAATTCCTAATTATAAAAAAAAAATTTTAACAGTGTTATTTGGCGGACATGTACCACGAGTTGCTGAAGCAAAAGACCTCAGTCAATTTCCTCCCCCAGCTAAACACATACATTCATTTAACGAATACGTCGCCAATGACCAACGAACTACACAGATACTTTTACCATGCTTTGACGGAGTCTCGTTAATTCGAAAAAATCTTTAACATGTAGATTTAACCACAAAACATTGTCTGTTATGATGATGTGACTTATTATATATATATTAATAATATACAACCAAACTTTAGTTATACGTGTCCATTACTTAGCAGAATAAATATTCTATAATTTTTAAAATTTACTTAGTTACAATTTTATATATCCAAAACTTTGGACAAAAGGGTGATATAACTGAGGTTTAACTGCAGATTAAAGATTCAAATATTAACACAGAATAAAGTTCAACATTAAGTGTATAATTGTCGTGCCCGAAGTCAGTGTTGTACATTTTAATTGTTCCAAGCTTTTTAATCTTTTCCGTCCCGCTTCAGGATCTTATCTTGTCCCAACAATATTCTAATAAAAATTATATAAACCAAGGGTAAAGGATGTTACTAAGGGGGTTGTTTATGTGATACACAGTTATGTTATTAATAATGATTAAATAGTAGTCTAGTTTATATTATTTATATCAGAATAGGTAATAGTTTATGGATAAATAAATTCTGTTCTAATCAACTCACTGACACCTACTTCACAGGCAACTTACTTCACAGACAATTAATTTACAGCAGAGTTATTTTTACAGATGATTAATTCATAGACAGTTCGGATGTTCTATAAAATAGGTGGGCAATATAAAAAATAAACTCCGCTAATGATTAATAATCATTAATAGATATTTAGCGGAGTTGCGGAGT